GTTTGGTAGGGCTCTCCATAGATGATCTGTGTATTGTATTGTGCCCCCTTATGGTAGTTACTGGTCGATATATTTGCATGCCATTTTATTTATGGTTTATGTTTAGATAATTATTTATGTGATCTCTGCTGGAGTTACTAATGCTCTTTTGCTTTTTGTTTTTTGTTTTTGTTTTCCTTTTCCTTTTCCTGAGCCGAGGGTCGATTGGAAACAGCCTCTCTGCCCTTTCGGGTAGGGGTAAGGCCTGTGTACGTATTACCCTCCCCAGACCCCACCTTGTGGGACTATACTGGGTAGTTGTTGTTGTTGTTGTTGTTGTTTGAGACTTTGAGAGAAAGTGTCTTCCAGTTGATCAGTTGATGTGGTCTTGTAGTAGTTATTAGAGAGAATAACTGGAGGCATAATATGATATTGCTGAGCTAAGTTAATTCTTTTCTTCTCTAGATGATGTCCTTAGAAGATTGGGCTTCATTTGATAAAGAACACTCCATCTCACTGCTTGGAGCAATTGAAGCCTTGAAAGCTAGCACTCTCCGTCTACCGGTCATTGGAGGAGCTCATGTATGTAACTGGGCGACACTTTATATTTTGGTTTTAGGTTTCGTTTCTGTTTTTCATAAAGAGATCACATGTAGTTTAATACATTAATGTAATCTGTGTGTTAATAACAACAGGTTGACATCCAAAACTTGAAGGATGCTGTTAGTTCAGCGCATGGTGTGATGCAGGCAATGGCATCCTCAGTCGGTTCTATTTTGGGCAAGGTAACCTCATTTTCGTCTTGCTATCTTTCTGTTAATGGTGACTGTTGCCGTGAATTCAGTTAATGCATAGTGAATGTACTAGTTCCTCTTCATTTTTCTTTGCTTTTGATAAAGCTGTTAGGACGTTTAAGCATCATAGAATATTTTCTATCAAGTAGCTCACAACTGTTGTTGAAGTTTGTATTAAATAGCAATAGAGTTGTTCCTATGTTACAAATGCTATATTGAGCTCTTTCTGATACATAATAGATCCTCTTCAAATTCTTAGTCTCTCTCTCATCTAACAACTGCTCCTCAATCCCAAGCAAGTTCCCGTTCGGCTATATGAATGATCACTGTCCGTGTCGCTCCATTTAAGCTCATCTCCGTACACTATTGTATAAAGTAAAATAAAAATAAGAACAAAGGACTAAAGGACTCTAGAAATCATTGGACCTAAGGTAAACGTACTAAATGACTAAGACTTAATCCGAAAAATTGGTATGGCCTGTACAGATTTTTTTTCTTCCATTTGTGCCCTTTTTTCTCGTCAAGTAATAAAAAAAAGCCTAGTCAAAGGAAGCTGCATTTTCTTTTTCATCTCAGTTATTTCAAAATAACTCCTTTAACAGGAAGATTTCTCAGGTTTTGCTGGTGCTGCAGTAAAAACGATATTTTACTCAGAGGATTCCATAAGAGATTCTAAATAATAACAAGGAACTTATAGGTAGTTTATTACTTGGAATCTATAACAGTTCATATTAACCCCAATGAAAATAGGGGAAAAAGGGGCAACCCTTTAAATCTCCAGAGTTGCAACGTCATATAGGAAAAATATAAGGAAAATAAAAGAAAGGAAAGAAGATCAATTTCCATCTAACAGACAC